TCTTAGTTTTTGTCTTTTTCTTTTAGTTCTATCTTCTTTCTTTTCTATACTTTCTGATTTGCATTTTAACTGTGCTTTTTATATATCTTAATAAAAGCTTTAATAAAAAAAAAAAGTGTCCAACTCACCTTCCTTCATGTCCTGAGGACTGTGTGCGCCGCCTGTGAAGGGACAGCAGTGCCACAAGCGTACTTCAGTAGAATTACTAAAAGGTTAATAATAAATAGCACCTCTCTCTTGCTCTCTCACTGCAAGGGCTCCCCTCCTATTGAACAGCTGGCCCCTGAATTAAGGGTGTCCCCCCTCCACTTACGGCATTCTGGAGAGCCTTTCTGGAATTGAGTGGCATATACATGGCAGAGATCAGTAAATAAATAAAAGCAAATTTAAGGGGTAAACACTTAGCTCAGACATTGGAATCAGTTTTACTGTGTTGCTATAGTGAATTATATTTTTCTATTATTTTTGCTATTATTATTATGGCATTTTATTATATAGATACACACACACATGTAAACCGCCTACAGTCCAACCAGACTGAGGCAGCATATAAATTCCTCCAAGAAAGAAAGAAACAAACAAACAATAAAGGTATCTTCTCCAAGCTGACACTCCTATTGCAATTCTTTCCACAGGATGGGATCCAGAAAAGGCCCTCTCATTTGCCTTCTGGATCTTTAAAACAACTTGAGATAATCCTGCCAGCCAAATTCTCAGGGGCATTGGCTAAAACAGGGGTAAAGCAGTGCGAGATGTGTCCCATCAGGGCTCACCTGTATCTGGGCTGCTCTGAGGACTCCGAAGGAGATCTTTCGGGCACAGAAAGAGATGTGGAAGAAAGTGTCGTTGCTATAGAGGCGGTGGTTGCTTCTTCAAAAGAGGGAGGGGTGCAGGGAAGAAGATCAGGTCGGCCTGTCATGCCCGTGGTGAAGAAAGAAAAAAGGATATTGAGGCTGGGGAAAAAAAGCCCAATCATCTGGACCACGGCAAATGATCCTGCACATCTGCAGAGTTCTGACCACATTACAAAACAGGGAATGTAAGCAATTTATAATTTCAATTTTCAAAAAATGAAGCAATTTGTAGCCTTCATTGTTGCAGAGAAAACGTGAAAGTCTATTTCTGTTCAGGAACAGGAGCAGAGATTCTACATGGCACCTATTTCCCAATGAATCTTCCACTCTCTTAGAGACTTCCAGGAGTGGAGAACATTTCAAATGTTTAAATAGCACCATGATTCTAAATGCACAAGATAAGATAGGGAATTCTTCGAGTTCTGCTACCATCTCTTTTCATGCTTCAACATCACCAACATCTAAATCCTCCCCCAAAAACCATTTCTATAAATTATCTACCTTTTATACATGCAAATCACAACTCCCAAGAGCAAAATGCATCAAATTAAAAAAAAAGATGGTTAGAGATGGAATTTGCATAAGATTAGAGCCCTGTGGGTAGAATCTCACTGTAGAAATTCCTTGCATTCGACTAGCGCTGCTAAGAACGAATTGGCCTTTCTCTCTTCTGTGCCACTGATATTGAGGATGAATTCACTCCCCACACTGGATATCCAGCAGGTGGGACTTTTAAATTCTGGGTGCTTTAGAAAAAGAATGATTGGTTCTCCTTACTCATTTTCCCTGTTTTTCACCCCCAAAGCTCCATCTTGGTTAAGAAAGACCATAATGAACCCTTGAAGAAGCCAAAGCAATGCTTAGATTGGCCATCCTGACCTAATGCCACCAAAATGCCTTGGATCATTAATTCCCAGAATTCCAAGCCAGCATCGCTTTGGCCTGCTGATCTGGAGGGCCCTAGACTGGGGGCTGCTGCCTTAAATCATAGTCGTCTAAAATTAGCAAAGAAAGGGCTGGGACATTTCTGCTGCCAGCAGTCCCACAGTGTTGTTCGGGAAACCAAGCAGAATCACCTTTTGCAAATCACTTACAGGAAGGATTTTTTTTAAAGGTTGGCACTGGCCCATTTTGCATGTATGCTCATAATGGGGCAAGCACAATTAAGCAGCAATTGAAACACTGGCTCCCAGTTGGTTTTCCCTGCTGGCAGAAGTAACTATAATCAGGGAGAAATAAGCATTCTAGCACCTCCTCCAGATGCTTGGAATTTCACAACTGTAGCCCCTGGCCAAGACCAATAGGAACTGAAGGCTCCAGATTAAGGAACCAGGTTCAAACTCTGGCTTATGATTCTGCCTAGGGAGGAAAGGAACTACCTGGGGATTCCAGATCAGATAAAATGCTTAATACATGATATCTGGTAACATCCGTGAGGTTTTTGTTCTGGCAGGTAGGAGACGCCAACTGGGAGCAATCAAGCTGCACTACTAACATGCTTGCTTGATCATGGACAATCTGCAAATTGGCTTGGTTCCACTCTCCAAGCAGAACGACCTGAAGCCCACCACCTCTAAAGGTCTACTTTCTACCAACTAGGAGAGGGACAAATGAGTGTTCTTACCTTCCCCCCTGTCGTGGTTAACTTTAGCACCTGCAAAAGCATAGCAAGAAGTTGAAGGAACACAATTGGTGGGATGGTGGGACCCTATTGGCACTATGGGGAAAGGGGACTGGATGAGTTGAGCCACTAAGACCAGCTTTCCCCAACCTGGCACCCTCCAGGGAGTTGGGAATACAATTCCCAGAATTCCCCAGCCAGCCAGCCAGCCTACCTTGCTAGGAATTCAGGGAGTTGCAGGCCCAACCCATTTAAAGGGGGCCAGGATGGGGAAAGCTTCACTGCGCCTTAGGAGGAGCTCCAGGTGGCAGGGGACTCAGAAGCAGGACCGTGTGTGACCCACATTACCTTCATCATCTAAAGTGGGGTAACTCCTGGCTCCCCGGAGGTCATACTGCACTTCGTCCTTCTCCAAGGGAATCTGGCTGGCAGAAAACGCAGCCATGGGGCCAGATGGCTTAACAGCTAACAAGGCACTCCGTCCTTTCTTTGAGGGAGATGCTTTCAGGGCTGCAGAGGAGAGGGATGGGTTGGAGCAACCACAAGTTTCACAGAAGGGTTCAAAGTAAAAAGCAAGAAGGTTCTGTTTACAAGAGTCTACTCCTGGCCAGAGAGAGCCCACCCCTCCCCTCCCCTCCCCTGAGGATAATGGGCATCTTCTCCCCATGAGAAATTAAAGCCTCAGAGCCAAATTAGGAGATCATCTAACCCACACCTGTCCAGCTACTAGCAGAGGGCTCTTCTTGTATGAGAGCCTTTGGCCTGGAGAGACTGCTAGAAAAGAGATTTATAGGCCCTTATTTTCAAAGATAGTATTTTTTTCTGCTCTCAGAAAATTCTTTTTTTTTTCTTCACCGCATTTTATGTATGTCTCTAGGTCAGTGTTCCTCAACTTCAGCAACTTCAAGATGTGTGGACTTCAATTCCCAGAATTCCCCCAGCCAGCCGGCTGGGGGAATTCTGGGAGTTGAAGTCCATACATCTTAAAGTTGCTGAGGTTGAGAAATACCGCTCTAGGTATTATAGTTTGCACATGAAATATCCCAGGTTTGGTCTCCGGACTTACTGCTAGAAGGTAACAAATGATGGGAAAGGGTCTTCATGCCTGAGGCCCAGGAAAGCCACTGCCAGCCAGAGAAAACCAGCATGGATGAAATGAACAAGCACTTGGGCCTGACAGGAAGATACTTCCTACATTCTTAATAGATAGCAGAATGATACCCATAACATAGGGATAGGCAGCTGGTTGGTGGTAGG